ATGCTTTTAGAAAAAGCAATTTTAGCAACAATAAAATATACAGACTGAATGTTAAATTTGGAGGATAAAACAGTTGTTGAGACAAAACTAGTTACCATCTAAATCTAGCAAAGCTGTAAATTTTTTCACACAGATTTCAGTATATTAATCGATTTCCTGGGCATGCCATAATATAATCCAAAAATGTATTATTCAATGTAAAGCGCAGTAATAATATATAAAAAACTTGAATATCTAAATTTGCCAATTAAATTTAAATGAAATAGTATTGGATTAAGAGTGACACTTGCATTAACAATTAATATACCTCACAAACATTTATATGTGGCATGCTTTGCAGTGGCTAAACACCCCTATAATTATTAATATCTGTCCCTTACAAACTACATATAGTCATATTCAAATTAAGTTATTAATTTTTTATGACAGAAGTGTTATAGAAATATTTTATGGTTAAACCAGTTTTGAGGTTAGACTATATATTTTGCTATGACTGTTCGGACGTATTTTCGTTTTATTATATTGGCCATGAAGATGACAACCTTCATGGCATTAAGCTTTACACGGAACGGTTGCGACCCCTGCAGAGGGGGGGGGGGGTAGCGGAGTGTTTTAATGGAACTAATTGTTCACCTCCAAAATTTTGTTGTTAATTTTTATTAATATTATCATCCTTGGTCAACAGCGATCAGATTCTAATAGTTTTATAAGATCTTGTGATTATTGAACGTCTATGTTTTAGAAGCTAATCATAACCCCAATGGTTGGCCTATGCACATTTTATATATTTTTTTTATTAGAATTTTGTGATATTTTTTTTTAATTTGAGGCAACAATGCCGGAAAAGAGTTATAATTACTTATGAGCATATTTAGATCTATATTTTAAGTTAAATCTGATATCACTACTGATCAAGATGAGCTTCTAACCTGGAGCTTTGTAGTTACTAAAATCTTTCCATACCGAGTAACATATATAAACTATGCTCACAATTATTTGGAATTCTACAATTGGCGAATGGCGTGATATTTTAATATGAATTTCTAATCTGCCTATCAAATGAGAACGACTAACATTACAAGTTACAGTTATTTACTTTCTGTATTACGCACACATCCCAAATCCGACGTCTAGTCGACTCACATAAAAATTAATAGAGATATATAAAATAAATTCGTGTTCGGGTTAATAAAATATATTAGCTCAAGCAACAAGCAAGGAGCAACGCTCTAGACATAATTCGGAAACATTGTAATTTTCGTAATTTTTGAAGTAAAACTTCTTTAGGCGCGACTAGGATGTGAATCCGTACAAATGCAACGGAAATGCGTTACGGCCGAGTCGAGTACCAATGATTCGTCATTCGCTCTCAATGATACGATTTCTATACGGGTCGATTGTAATTAGTCGTCGTGTATGTGAATAGATTTCTGTCGTTGTATGCGTACTGGCATCAACGTTGTATGCGTCCGATATCAACAAGGAAATCGGCATAGATAATTAAACATTTCAGTAAACATCGTAGTACAACATTTATTTAATGAAAAATGCCTAAATCAGAAGAATATTTTACCCTGTTTATTGAAAATAATAAAACAAATTAAACATTCGTGCCGTGTACTAAACGTAAGCTTATTGATTAGAAATAATTTTTTTTATTATTCGTAGTTTCTATAAATCTTTGAAGTTATTGAAATGGAAAATATTTTTTAAGCAAGGCAGATATTACAGCTGTTCAAAGAATGAAATTATATCGAAAAAGTAAAAAAAAATACCATCAGTCAATGAATGTATGTTAATTTTAATTACATGAAGTTCTTCAAACAAAATTACATGATGAGTGAAAATGCGAAAACAATATTTGTTTAGGCGTTTTTTAACATAATCCACTGTGTGAACAAATATTAAAGAATTTATTAATCAACAATTACTTTATTTCTCCAATGAAGGTTCATTTCTAATTGCTAATTACAATGACAAACCGATCATGTCATATTTGAAGTATGGCTTGAATTAAATTGTTTTCAAATATTATACATATTTTTAATGCTATTATAAATATATAATTTATAATTTATCATTATATAAATGTGTATAATGGTTGACACTAATAAATATGTGAATCACGAGTGTTACCAAATTACTGATAAAATTTATTCAAAATTGTTATATGATGTATATATTTTTACTTAAATGCCATCTTGTACAGTAGCAAATCAGTTTTACTTCAATCGCATGAGAAACTTACGCGCACTCTTTTTTATTACAAATATTTACTAATTTAGAAGCCAATTCTCCGGTAAATAGAAATGTTACTACAACGTACAATGCTATATTAATTACTGTTCTATATTTCTATTAATTAGTAGTACAAACTGTCAAAATGCTATGTATTTGATGTGCGTGAAATAACAATTTTTTCACAAGTGCATCTTTATCATAAAGTTAAGTTCTATATGTAAAATGCTCGATCAAACAGCAAATACATAAAATGTAAAGTTTTTATTACCAATTCATACGAAGATAGGACAGGACTATTAACGTGATAAAACACAAATTGAAAAATATTTGTATTGAATATTACTTTCATAAATTTCATACGTTTCATAAATTTTCTTTATTTCAGAATCCTGTGTAACCATATTGTTCTATGAAATTGCGCAATTGGCAAAACTCTATCTGGACCAAAGCTGGAACACCTGAAATATGTAAGTGCTTAGGTAATATTATATATTTTTATTACTATTATATATATATATATATATATATATATATATATCACAGTTTATAAAATACTAATAAACATTATAGTAATTATATTACTTATAGATTTTAGAAATCTTTTTGCACAATTATCTAAAAAAATTAACGTTAACTAATTTTTGAAGTCATCGCATACAATTTAATAACTATGTACAATAAGTTTATTGTACAAACTATACTAAAATGAATGAAAAAAACCAAAATGTATTTTCTTCATTGTATTTTAAGATATATACATTTTGGTGTACTACTTAGTAACATTAATTAGGTGCTTTATACACAATTGAGAATTTTGAACATTTTACTTTGAAAACTTGTACCAAAAAGATTAGCCATGGGTTGTAAGAAAATTGTAAATAGTTGGTTGTTATCTTCCAAACTACTTCTTTATCTTCGAATTTTCATTATAATATTATAGCATCTCTCTAATCATGAAAAATTATAGAGTCCGGATGTTCCATCGCTTCATCTAAAGATTGTTGCTTGATCCTATCAGGCAAATTGCACCAATACTGATGAACGGCTTTCTCAGATGTTATTTTAAATAAGTTATTTACAACTTCAATGGTCACTGTCCCACTTTTTAGATCTCTAAGAACAGCAAACCTGGACCTCCGAAGATACTGTTTCAACTCGCCTCCTTCCATATTAAAGTACTTGACCTGCAAGTACTTCCCTTGGCACGTACCGGTTGCACCAATTGTGGCATCCAGTCCGTGAATCAGCCAAACTTCTAGAGTTATTGTCTCCAACGTCCCGTGAATAGTTTTTTCTTTCTCATCAAATTTGGTGCCGGTAACGGTCATTGTTTATTTTTAATTAATTATTTATACTTTAGTTTATTTATTATTTAGATTAGTAAATAATTTACGATTAAACGTTTTACGTTTTTTATTTCGTTTATCTACTGATTATACTCAATGCTAGTTTGATTTTAGTTTCCATAGAAACAAATTACGTTGACACATTTCATAGATGAGTTGATCTGCATTGAATCGAAAGACAAATAATTGATCAATTAAAAATTTGATTTAAGTTCTTTAGCAAAATTCAATAGTGAAATATCTAACAAAAAATAAATTTAATCATTCGAAATTTAATTGTAATTTTAATATACGTCAAATTGGATTGAACTATATCGCTACGGCAGTATTTTGCACAGGAGTGCCAAATTCTATACGAGACATTTACACACAAAATGTTTTAAGATTTCTAATCATTATTAATAGAAATGTATACATGACATATTTATGATTAAAAGTTTTTGAGAGAACGGAGCATCCGATTTGAATGATATAAAAAACATTCAATTAGTAATGGGAGAAGTGTTTATAAGTTTTTGGCAAAAGCAGGCCCAGCCATTTCGAAGATACAGAGCTAAATGTGTAAAAAATGGCAGTTTTGAGAGAACTAAGCGTCCGATTTAAATGATTCAAAGAACTTTCTGCTTGTCTCAACAAAATCATTGATTTTGAGAAAAAAAAATTGTTTCAACTTTTTTTTTTCAAAAAAAAATTTTTTTGTATATCGAAAATAATTCAGATTTTATTTTTAATTCTGACTATAGTTCTAATATACTTTAAACAAATAATTTCAACTTTGCAATTCAGATTATATAATTCTTATAAATATTAGACAATGTTACAATATTTATTTATAATAATCTATTTGAAAACATTCAAAATTCCTCGAACATTTTGTTACGGTATGGGAAGTTCCAGCAATCTGCCTTAAGGCACGATGCCATACACCACTAATTTTAATTAATGTTAACATGCTAATGTACATATTTTTTTTTTGTGCATATAATTCAAAATTACATAAAATTACTTGAATGCCACACTTCAGATCTTTATGCTGTTCATTACTATTTAAAAATTAAAAAAAAATACTGCAATTTTTTTTTGTATTTTTATTATAAAAAATGCATTGGTTTCATAGAATGAACATAAAAAAATTTTGAGTGGGTGTTCCAAAATAACAAAACACTGTAAATATACTCACTTCAATGATCTCACAAATTGTCATGTAAAATTACAATAAAAATACTTATAAAAATTTTGTAAAAAAAATATTAAAATATATAAAACATGAAAAATGATTTTTAGAAAATTACAAAAATAATTTGATACAAACTATAAAAATGGAAAAGTAAAATATGAAAAAAATTAAAATATATAAAATGGCAGGTATAAAAAAACTGTTAAAAAAAATAAACTAATAAATTTTCGTCGAACTCAAAGTAATGACGCACTGTCTTTATCTTGGGAATCTGGAGGATCAGGAGATCTTGACGTGTGTTCTAGCTTTACACACTTGTCGGCTTTCTTAGGTTCTTTGGTAGACTTAACGGAGCCGGTCGTGCTCGAAGACCTTTCTCGCTTTCGGCCGCCCTTTTTTGTAGGTTTTCTGGACCTCCTCGAGCCGCCCTCTCTGGTGCTGGAACTTCTTGAGGTTCTCTCTTTTGTAGGTTTCCTGGACCTCCTCCTTCTACTTCTGGTGCCACGGTTTCGAGTGCACCTTATACAACAAGTGCATTTGGGCTCTGATCCGGCATTTGTTGTTTTATTGAAGAGTCTCCGATCACCTGCAATATGTGCGATATCACATTAAAATGTAGCATGATGAGGGAATAAAGAATTAGTTACACAGGTTCACGAAATGAAAACGAAGTTGAATATATTGGGTATGCATGATGTGATTTACGAAGTTAAAATTGGAGGTTAGCATGCAAAAACGATGATAAATAAAAAAAAAATCCGACAAAATAATTTATCTAGAACACTTTCCACATAATAATTATAATTTTAAAATTCTTGTGTTTTTCTCCTTAAATGAGTGCAAAGCTTGTTACCAAAATTTGAAGAGTTTTCATAGAGATAATACCACATAAAAAACAAAATGTAAACAATTCATCAGAATTTTAATTTTATATATATATATATATATATATATATATATATATAATATTTGTTATTAAAATTATGAAGTTGACACAAGTTAGTTAAAATTAGTGCATGGCTTTTTAGGCATTTATTTAAATTTTTTTAACGTTATTGAACAGCACTCAGAACATGTTGTTAACACTTACGGGACGGCACCGATATCAAAACAATCTACTGTACCGGCTGTGAACTTGATTTCATTGTGTATGTTATGCAATTTGTTTGATAACTAGCTGTAAGTGGAATTCTGTCTTAAGGCAATTAGGGCATCGTGCCTTAAGGCAAATTGCGGGAACTTCCCGTACCAAAAATTATTATTTTTTTAAAAACGATTAACATTTTTGAAAAAAAATTACTTCGAAATGATTATTGAGAAACTAGGAATATGACAAAAAATTACTTTTTTTTGAAAAAAAAATTTTATTTGAAAAAAAAAAAATTTTTTTGAAAGAAAAAATTTTTTTTTTGAAAACAAACTATTTTTTATTGAAAAGAAAAATGTTTTCTTCATTTTGACATATTTTGGAAATTCTGAACTTTTTTTCAAAGCAATCGTAGTGCTTGAACTGCATAGAGACGAATTGTCACAGCGCAAGTGCCGCGCCGCCGTCTAACGCATAAACATTGGTACGGAACCCATAGAAATGTAAAAAAAAATTATACCCATTGTTAAAATTTCTATACAATATCTGATAATTTGATGTGCATATGTCTAATCATCATTTTTAACCGCCGAATGGCATTTTTTTTTTTACTTTTTTCATTAGATCTCCGAAACCGCTAGACCTGCCTTCATGAAAATTTTATCAACTCTTCATCTTGCCAATACAAGTAAAATGTTTTTTGAATTATTCAAATCGGACGCTCCGTTCTCTTAAAAACTGAGTTACCGTTTTCGGCACTTTTTGCCCCGTATCTTTATAATGGCTAGACCTAACTTCGCCAAAAACTAATCAGCACGTCTCCTTATCAGTATGAATCGAATGTTTTTTGAATTATTCAAATCGGTTGATCCGTGTTCCCGAAATCGTCGACGAAAATTTGTATCTGCACATACATACACACACATACATACATACACACACACACATACACACACACATACATCCATTTTTTCTAAGGTATGCCAAAATGTTCAGAAACCTCTGAAACGTAAAGATATATAAAAATTTTCATTTTCGATTTTTTTGCGATTACTATAACTTACCCTACGGGAAGTTAAAAATTTGTGGTCATTGAAGGACATACATTTATAATATTAATTTATTTTTGATAATTTTATAAAGAATGGTGACGTTCAAAACAATTTGTCTGTATGAATGTCTATTTGAAACTCATCTTCAATACTGTACTATTGTAAATAGTAACAAAATTTACCAGTCGTTTTGCCATATGTAAAAGCGCTCGGTCGTTTTAAATGTTAAAAAAAGACTATATAGCAAAGAAAAAGGCTAAAAATACTACTAAAATAACTTAAAATTATTTTCTAAATACAACACTGTTTATCACTGCTATATGTAATTTATTTAATGTTTCGATGCAAACTGAGTCATTGTTTATAAAATAGCCTGTGTCTCACAGACTATATTTGTCCACTCAGGTGGACAGCCGTCCCCAAAGAGTTAATTCATTTAAATTTGACGACAATCGTAAACCTAGTGTTTTACAAAGTCCTACGAATGAAATTTTCTTTCATTCAAAGCAATAACAGATAAACTAAATAATTGTCATTTATTTATCAGATTTCTTTTATTATAACCTTGGTTTTTGGAGCATTATGTAAAATATGTGCTAGGGTAAAGTGGGATTATTAATTAAATCTTAAAACTCTGTACAGTTAATTATTTTTCATCAAAAATATTTGAAAGTAGAGGGAAAAAGATGTATAATTAGCCATCACATTGATTATTATGACTCACAAGTATTTTCCTAAAGTTAGTTTTTATGGTCAAGAGCACCGTTGCTTAGTTTGCGAGGCTCCGACATAATTTTTAAATATAGATTAATTAATTATTCAGTAAGACGTATTATTAATTTTAAGTTAGATTTTTTTTATAACTTCTACAAAAGTTTACACGTGGTGGAGTAAAAAGGACCAACTGAACCTTTACCCTGGCAAAATTGTAAAAATAAATAACGCTAATAAAGACGTAAATCAAGTTTAAAAAGCTATTTTTCAAAACACAAGTTATTCGAATTCCGTTCGTGAATATTTCTGACAAAATACCAGATCAGGGTTATTTACAATGTAATCTATGTAAAAATGCACCAAATAAATTAATATTCTGCATTGATTGAATGATATATATATATATATATATATATATATATATATATATATTGTAAAATGTCTTCAGAATTCAAATAAGACCGCTTTGCACCCCGGGCGTCCCAATTTAACCCGCCTATGGGGTATAAAGAACCAGGTTACAAATTATAGGATAAGTAAATAGGATAAGTCATGAGATCAATTCTTTAACTATCAATAGCATTCAATTTGAATTTTCCTCAGTCTCAAAATTTAAGGCATCCAATTACAAAAAAACTTAAACTGGGACAATCATATTCATTCCATACTTGTACCTAAGTTAACTAAAACATGTTTCATGTTGAGAATTCTTAAATCAAAAGTTAGTTTAAATTGCCTTCTTTCAATTTATTATTCTAATTTCTATTCGCATCTCGCTTATGGAATACAATTCTGGGGATTCTCATCATCCTTAAAGGATATATTCAAAATACAGAAAAGAGCATTAAGAATAATTTTTTCCCTCAGTTCCTTATTCTCATGTAGGAATCTTTTCCGACAATATAACATTCTCACTGTTCCCTGTATATTTTTGCTAATTACGTTGTCATTCATAAAGAATAATTCTGAACGCTTCAACCTATCCTCTATGTTAAATTCCTATTATAAAACAAGAAATTTGACTAAAAAGGACCAACTTTTAAACTTGAAACATCTTTTAATACCATTGACGGAAGAGGAGTACAGCTTTTTAATCTACTTCCACTACATATTAGGAAACTGAATGATCGTCAATTTCATAATACTATTGTTAAACTTTTAAAAGCTCAAAATTTCTACGATACTTGTGAGTTTGCCAATTTCGATATCAAACATTATTTTGATAATGAAATGCCTACTGTTACTAATTAATACTTTTTTTTGCAACAGTTACAATTTTTTTCCCTTTCCAATACCTTTTCTAATTTTTATTCTAAATTATTTTACCATTTTCCTACTTTAAGTATTTTATCATTACAATTATTTTCATATTGTATATTGTTTTTTGATACTGCTCTTAATTTTTATTTTCCAGATATGAGACTCAAATAAAAATTGCATAACGGATATTTCAAGGATTTTTTTACCATAAGAAGACTCTCAAGATCTACAACAATTAAACTATTTGAATTTTATTACATTTTTTTTTCTTCGAGTTATTGTATTAGATATTACTAATGTTAGGCGTAATATTGTTTAATAGTTGTATTTTAGTATACTTAATTCAATTAGGATAATTTATTTTCTGTAATTATTAAATTTATTCCTGTATCCGTAAATATAAATTATAAATAAATTAAATAAATAAATAAATTATTGAAAAACAGCAAAAATACACATTTCTACAATGATGAATTTGCTGGGACTTTTACTGAACATAGTCAAATAGTTGGTTGATTATTGTGTGTTATTTGTTGTAATATATGATTTGTATTATAGTATTATAGTATTTGTATACAATAATATATAGTATAGTATACTATATATAGTACACTTTACTATATATAGTAAAGTATACTATGGTATACTATAATTTGTATTTTGGTATTATATTAGACAATTATATTAACTAATATAATTGGTTTGTTGGTTTTTACAATATAATTGTTCAAACTTAAATTGGGCCTGTATGCTCCACCCTACCCTAAGCATGAATTACAAAATACAAAAAAAATGAGTTAAAACTAAATTGGATTTTTATCTAATTATTGTAGTTAAAGTATTTTGAAGTATAAACAATAAATGATGCAAAAAACGAAGGTTGTATTGAAAGTGCAAACCCCAAGTGATAATAAAATATACGTCATAATAATTTCGTAATTTGGAAAATGCGCAAAATAATAATAAATATAAGTTAAACTTACGAGTCCACTTGAAAATGCCTTGTGATACTCCTTTTTCAATCGCTCTCTGAATTCTTCGGTGAATCGTGGAGCGCCGCTCCCCCGCGGTCACCAGAACCTCCGCAATGTCTTCCAGATTCCCTCCTGCAACAATTGATAGTAATTTATATACTTTCAAAGTTCTAAAAATATTCTAATCTTGAATCATTCCAATATGAAAACATCTTACCACTGGATTCTCCCAATAGTTCGATAACATATCTAATCTTTCTAATGAATTCCTTTGACATTATTCGGCCGATCGAAAAAAATTATAAAAACACAAAAATATTAATAAAAAATACGTTGTTTAATAAAAAATAGAATAAACTTACAAAAATTTGAAAATACTAATAAAAAACTCGTTTTTTCATGAAAAAATATCAAAATATAAAAATATAAATTTGTAGATAAAAATGTTTAGAAAATAAATATATAGCTTTTTGTTTGTGTGCCCAGTTACTTTGATCAA